AACTCGGGAGACTCCCACGAGGGTACCTAGAAAACGTTATACTATTACTGGGTTAATTTCCATAATGCTCTTATATGGTATAATAGATTTATTGAATATTTTATATTGATAATAATAATAAGAAAACCCCATAATCTCCTTAAGCTTTCGAACGACTAAAAACCCATGAACGGCAGTAACTGGCGGAATTGAACGAGCGCGTGTCCGTTTACTGCGTTTATACACAAAACCAAAGACTTTTATAAACTAACATTCATAACGCGTAGCAGTTATATTAATAATATTGGGTTTGTCGAAGAACGCCATAGCTTACTGTGCTTGTATACAGTTACACAGCATGATTTATACATATTTATTAGATTTATTTATCGTGACTAGTTATTATATTTTTATCGGTTTATTTAACCGAGTCAGATAGATCCGCGTGCCGCCTCGACACGTCGCCTTCGGAAAACAAAAATGATAAAAATATGCAAAATGTATAATAAAGATAATAATACAGTATGGTACGTAGAACACTCGACAGCAGCGGTGATTTGACTATATTTAATCGTGGCGACGCATGGGGAAGTTTACCTACACGTTTTCTGCCACCATTTTGACAAAAAAAAAATCGTTATTTCCACGTTTAATATATGAATAAGTAAAATAAATCGAGAATAGAGGAAAGTTAACGCCCAACGGTCGTGCACGGCTTTGCTGTTGGACGAGTTGGATGCTTTTTCGTTTGGTGTTTTTTTTAACTTGTATATTTTACTACGTCTATGCTACACAAATTGTATAAAAAGAAATTGTACACAATGGACAAAAAACCATTAACTGTTTATGTACTGTATATGCTATAAAATTAAATATTTATCGTAATTAAAGTGTTAATTAACGGCGGGACTGGTACTGGTAGCTCAACCTTGAGGAGTCGTTATTAGTGTGGAATATAAACTCGTTTACTGCGACGTAGTTTTTATTTAAAATCGAACGTAAAAATACTTATCTAAAACTCTTACCAGCTTTTTCCTAGCCACCATATTAATTAAATCCACCAAAACACAAATGTCTGTCACCGATGGATTAAAAAAAAAAGGATTGATTCTTCGAGCTCAATTGAACTAGTCCAACACATTCAAAACAGCAACTGAAAACTAACAAGAAGCCGCAGTATATGATCAGAATTATTAATGGAATATTCCATCATTCAATGGGAAAAATAAATGTCATCAAAGATATTTACCTAGTCAAAGAAGACAGTTTTAAATCAATTACGCTTGTCAGTTATGATTGCAAAATTACTGAAATTTCAACGTAACGAATAACAAATAGAAGCTAATAAAAAATTATGTCATCCTAAGTCAAAGAACGAATACGAACCAAAAGATAAATACTATAGCCTTCGTTCGGTGATACTCGGATATAGATCCATTGTGTTCTTCTTAATATTAAAGAACAATACTTATCACAACGCATCAAACTCTAGGATTGTCCTAAATGCGTCGTTAAATTATCACAAAACTACATTTCTTATATCTGGAACGAATTCCTTTAAAGAATTCAAGTGAAACCGAAGAATAGAACCATTTACATTTCTTAAAACATCCTATGATAATTTTGAACTGTATGGTAAGTGGATTTACAACAAAATAGTTTAAAGTATAACATTGTGGACATAAAAAAATGGAGACATTATATGAGTTTGTATAAGTCATACAAGATAATGGAGGCGTTAAAATTGTTTCGACAACAATAAAGTGTATTTGAATGGGCTGAAAAGAGGTAACGCGCAACAGGAATGATTGTATATAAAACGGTTGTGGGCCAACAATGACGTACGGGAGCAATGAGGGCATTGAATTAAAGTTAGCAATAATAAACCCAAAACCATAAACACCCAGCGGGTTACGCTAAGCCTAGCAATAGTTAGGGACTTACTTGAAAAGTTCTGGGGGTTTATACTTTCTAAAATAAACTAAACTGGGTTTTGGAATTTTTTTTTTAATGTATTGAATTAGAGAGATCAATGTAAGTGTGGTGTTGCCTAAGATTGATTGATTGAATCGGGAATAAGTGTTTATAAGCGGTTGTTTAGGATTTGTGCTAATAACAGGAAAAAAGAAAGAGAATATGCAGTCAAAAAGTTGTTGGGGCGTGTTAAAGAAATCAAGAGAAATGAAAGAGTGGGTAAATGTTTCGTGGGGTAAACTTTTTGCCAATTTGGGGACACTACTGAGGCAAGTTTAATTATGGGTTCAACCTGAGATTTCAAAAAAAAGTAGATATCCGCTGTTATGCGAGAGAATGGAGGAATTGAAGAAGAACTGGCAACATTTGGTGTTGTGTGACAGAAAATGGAAATGTACGGAAATGAATGTTAGACATTGTCCATTAAGCAGTCGAGAGACAATCCAGATGGTATTGGCATGTTAAACGAAGAAAATTAAAACGGTAAATAAATAATAGTGACGAATAAAGAATTGCGAAAAGTAAGGATTTAGACTTTGGTATTCTGACCCCATTAGTTTGGGTTAAGGCGATGCAGAAGAATTACATTTTTATTCTAAACGTAACTGATGAGAGTAATGACCGTCAAAGAAGAAAAAAAATGTTTATAACTTTTGTCTCCTACATTAAACAATGTCTAATTAAAACGCTCTGATCAGAAGAGCAGCTGCTGGTTTTCGTTGTTTAACAGAAGGTGACGCAACACCAGTTAAGTCGACTGATAGGGGCCAATTACCTTTAATTGGCGTAGTGAGATGTCGGTGCTGTGACCTGTAGATCTTCGCGAATGATCAACAAACACCACCGACCGACAACCACACCCATTAAATAATTTCTCATTATCGTGTTATTTTATTATTATTAGTCATCATCGTATTATATATTATGTATCCGAAAAGTAATTCTATATAATATATTTATGATTTACATTTCACAATGAAGTATTGTTCATCGGTTAAAATTAGAATATAATCGAAACGAATTCGACAATTTATAAAATATGGTAATTTTTATAGATCATATCGGCGTATCATCCGATTTGTTATTATTATTTTTTTTTTTTTAGTAGCATCACTTTTTAAGATTTATATTATACAATCATTAATTTTCAATGGGCCCGTTGACATTTGTCATAAACTTATATGAATAATAATAATATCTGTTACAAGAGATAATTTTAACAAAATATCTCTATACATCATATTCAAATGGAGATATGAAATTGACGTTTGTGGTGTCTACGCGGGAAAATAATAATTATTAATTGCAGACCGGTAAAATATAAACGTTTATAACTTTTAAGCCCCCACAGAGGAGATGTCAAATTTTATAACAAAAATAAATCTTATTGAAATCCGGTCGGTCGACACCTTGGAAATAGACTTAAATTTTATTTGCCTAAAACGGGGCTCATTCCGTTCGCCAAATTATTTTTTTAACAACGACAAAACTATATTATCGTAGTCGAGCGAAGTCCGAAAATGTTGACGATTTTGTCCAACTCTAAAACCTGAATGCTGTTGTTGTATTATGATTATTATTATAACACTGTTGACGTTTCGGTTTATTTTCGAAACTATACCTTAGCTGTCTGCTGTTGTCTTGTCTCACAGTGCTGGGCGACACGTTTTGTACAATGGCTTGGCATATTTTAATGACCACCACAGGACACAACGCCCGCGATCGGTGTTCAATATTCATGACATGTGCTGTCACCGGTATATTATGAGGCGCACCGGGTGTGATTAATATTGATCTCTCGGTGTGTGCCCTCTCACTCCTTCCACCCCCCCCCCCCACAAGTTGGGGTCGTGGATAGTAGTATTACGCCATCTCTATAAAGTACTCGTATTAAATGGGATAGTTGCTGTCCCTTAATCACGTAGTTACACACCAGACCGGAATATTAAAACGTTAAAACGGACAGCGCGCGGTGTTTACATGTATTTTTTCTCGCTTTCAACGGCTAAAATATCATCATATAGGAGGTATATTATATATAATTTTTTTTTTAACGGAAGCGCTGGGAAACGTGTTCTCATATTACGCGCACTTACGCTTAAGCGGAAACGCATTTATTTTTATTTATTTTGTTTGGTGTGTTGGTGCAGTGGGAAGATAGATAGGGGTGGTTATGTGGGGTTACTTCCTCAACCGCGGTTAAGATGGCTCGGTTGTACGTATGAGAACAAATGTATAAATTGGCAAACTGGTTAGACTACCACCTTCGACTGTTGAATGTATTGAAATTGAAATCGGAATCGGAATTTACATATTTTTTTCGACTCCCCCCCAAAAAAAACCTTAACAGTTAACACTAAGAAAAGTTATGAATTCAACAAACAAACAAATCTTTCAGAAAAAAATATCTTATACCGTTTGTATAAAAAAAATTCGATGTACCTTACGCACTGCACGTCGAAAATATTATAGAACTGAGCTTTTTCACAACTTAACCTAACCTAACGTGTTATGTACAAAATCTGAGACCCGGGATCTTGTTATTCAGCCAAGTAAACGATATCAACCCTATTAAAAAAAAAACTGTAATTTTAATTTATTGTTCCAAAATCTTGCTTGCGTTTGTGAATATTTTGCAATAGATATTCCTACTTTTTTTTATATGTCGTGTATTATAGTACACTGAGTGCTGCGATCGCGATGTGATGGAGATTGTAGATTATATTTATAAATAATATACTATATTTCATTGTATGTGGGGCAGACCTCGTACCAAATTGTTTCTCGTATGGTGTACAACAGGATCATATTCACCGGAAACCGGTGGCGACAGGGATGAGTAGGGCTATATTATAGAGGAGGGAAAAATATTATTTTCCCGAAACACCGGGAACAGCTGAAGGGATGGATGCTGCGGCGGTAGCGTATCCTCTTTTTGTGTGCCCTTTTGATATATTATTATGTATAACATGCTGCTCGTCTTGGTTTTTATTTTTACATCCGACCAAATGTTTTTAACGTGCCTTTTCTCTCTTTTACCATTGCAGGTGCAACCATGGGACATGTTGAAAACCAGCACAAAACTGATCGGAAACCGTCAACTAGGCGGAACACGGTGATGCCTCTTAAGATAACGGCAGTTGGGGATGGAATGGTCGGCAAGACGTGTATGCTCATCACTTACACGACTCAAGAGTTTCCCGCCGAATACGTTCCTACCGTGTAAGCTCATCGTGCACACATTTAACTTTACACATTTTAGTGAAATATTATTTTATGTACCTGTCGAACACAGATATGTTTAAAAGTTATGAACATATCATTGTAATCAGTTAATGGTGTTGTTATTATGATTTTTGTATAAAGTTAAATACCGAAGAGGCTGTGTATACAATATATAAAATGATTAGTTCAACGACTCGATGCGTATTAGAAAAGTTTAATATTTCATATAAAAAAAAAACAATGTTCGTATAAATAAACACTTAATTTTACATTACGAGCGATTACAATATATTACACAAAAACCGGTTTACATACAAAATACGTGCACGCGCGTGCAGCGCCCTTCTTCCTAATCGCTCCCATGTAGTACTTACATTTACAAAAAAGAGCGAACATTGAGTATAGTATGGCATTAAGGCCGTGACCTGCGGGCTAAGCATCTGGCGCCAAATCCATGATACCGACACCTGTACAGAAGACGGTAACAGTGTTAAATTACAAACTCTATGGTGGGAACATTTTGCTGGCACTGATTTCCATTGCACTGAGACTTAAACAATATGTCTTCATTAAATCCACCAAACTCCTACCAGGATTATTTTTCAAGGGGGCACGGCAGGGTAGCGGCTCATGGCACTATTAGTCGACCCACCTCAACACCTCATAATTTTGTTCAACGATTTGTTTTTACTGATTTGAAAATGTTTAAATTCCGTTTTAAACTGAATCGTCACTTTATAATAATTAAAGGAATAATACATACATTATTTGTTTACTAAACGACTAAACTTCAACTAGGTAAACAAGGAAATTTGTCCAGCATAAAAAAACAATAAAATACAGTTAACTACCAAACAAATATGTATATTTTTACAAAAATAATTATTATTATTGGTCAATACTAAAACGTTAACTGGTCGAACCGAACGACGAGTACCAACAGGATATAATATTTTCACGATAATTTTATTACTGTATATATTGTATCTGGTGTAAATTTTGAAATGTTGTTGCCATAACAACACTAGTGCGGAGTGACATGCGTTGAAAGGCAATATACAAATCATATCCGTCAAAAGCAATATTATTATAAATATTATCATTATTCACCTATCTATATTATGAATGTGATGGAAAACGATGCGATAGTCACTTTATTAATATCATTTTGGGTGTAATCATATTAGTAACAAATTATAATCGCACAATACAATATCATAAAACAACATCCTGCTCTATTGCCCACGTTTTTACATATTATTATACAAATGAATGTTATAACAATTTTTTTATTTGAAACGTCACACTATTAATGGTATTTGATTGTAAATGCTAAAGTCCGTTAAACGAATATGAAGAAAAAAAACAGTGACCCGAAATAAATTATTGAATAACACAAAGAAAAAAAATGTTTATTAATATTAGGTGTGTTGTCTTTCAACAACACTTTGGACTCTCCCTACAAACGATACAAATCTTGATACCATTATTATATTATTTGAAATCACGAATAAAATAAAAATAAAGTTTCTGTTAAAATGATAAAAAATCAATTAAAAACGAATAATTGAAGTGAAAATTATCTACAAATTACATTTTCATTATTATTCGAAAAAAAAATACATTAATAATTTTCTAATAAAATAGTCGAGTGCATTTTTTTAAAAATTATTATTAAAACTCATCCGTATGAATAAATATTTAATTTGTTTTTTAATGTTATGGATATATATTTTAAACGTTTGTTACTAATATTTGGTTTTTGGTCAAAATATGTTTACAATTTTAAAAAATACCCGGTACCGTAAATATTATTATAAAAATTGTAATTTTAAAATATATTTTTGCTGTGTGACATGCAGTGAAGGAACTTGTTTATACAACTTGTAAATGTGTTTTTTCGTATACATATAAAGAAAACATTGGATTTTTTTGTACTGGAAAGACGGTTTTGTTTTATGTTTGCATTTTTTTTCAGGTTTGACAATTATGCGGCCAATATCGAAGTAGAAGGACAGATATACAATATGTGCCTGTGGGATACGGCCGGCCAAGAAGATTATGAACGACTTAGGCCTCTGTCCTATCCAAAAGTGAGTCTTTCCATCAAAATAAACCATAAATAATAGATTTATATAAAACAAAAATATATTTTATTAAAAAATAAATAGTTATCTTAAATTAGTTTTCTATATGTATCTTTAATAATTAAAAAATGGCATATTTTATTTATTACTGTTGAAACATGTGGATATGTTTAATTTTTGTATAGTAGCCATTTTGAATATGCCGACTAATTTTAAGGTGAAAAATATTAAAATTGTCTAGTTATAAAACTTTTCAAGTGATTTTTCTCCAAGTTACGAGGAAAGTTTGATAAAACATGGCTTTTGTAGAAGTAATTTTCTGATTTATCTATTAGATGGATTTCAATGTGTTTTTTTGGTTTTTTGTAAAGCTTATTGTTTTCTCTATGGGGGTTAAAGGTCTGATTTTTTACTTAGCTATTAGGAAATTAGTTACACTTATTAGAAATAACTATAAAAAAGTAAAAATATAAACGCTTTTGGTAAAATGGTGAAAACAAAAATAAAAATTCGACCTTTTAGCCTCCTAAAGACGATGTTAAACTATATCAAAATAACTTTGTTTTTTAAATCGGTTCTTAGGCTTCTGGGGTCATATTTAACAAACGGGTACAAATAAAATACATTTTTTTAAAATATTTTAATACCTAATTGGTCTTTTTTGTATTAATTGCTTTTGTAATTATAATAATTGGTTATTGTTGTGTTTTATTTACTCTCGTAGCGCATTATTATTTTCAAAAAATTAAAAGTTTTTAATTAAAATAAAGAAGGGGACCGATGAACGATTGGGCGCAGGCCTGTCTACGTTTTATAGGTAGCAGTTAATGGTGATGGAACCTAACCCAATCAACTTGCAACTAGTAAAATATTTACTCGAGCAAATGCCGAAAGTTTTAACTTAAATTGTGGTTACGGCGGATAGTCATTTTCCGAGGTAAATAAAACTATCGACTCAACCTCAAACAAACTGCCCAACTTCGATTAAAACAGAAACGAATTTTGTATACAGTGTGCATGTAATAGCTTTTGACGAACAAGCAATCCATTAGGACTTGTACAGAATTATTGTTTATACCAAACGTATAACTTTTGTTGTGTTTTTTTTTTGCAGACTAATTGTTTTCTATTATGTTATTCGGTCGGTAGCCGGAGTTCGTTTGAGAACATTGCCAGCAAGTGGTATCCGGAAATTCAACACCACTGTCCGAAAGTACCTGTGATATTGATTGGTAAGACCTGACTAATTCTATATTGTATATATATGTATATATATATATATATATATATATATATATATGTGTGTGTATAGCTGTCAGTTAAAACGCGTTTTTTATTTCCAAATGCCCGTCACAGAAGTAGGATAATACACATTATTATTTTTATAATATTTCTTTGAAAAAAATTATTTTTATAATAAACTAATTATACGTTTTTATTTTAACCATTTATTAATACAATTAAAGCGACCAATTATAACACGTACATTTTTAGGGGGTCACATGTAGACATTTGTTCATAAAATACATTTTTTTCTAAAATGTACATAATATTTGGAGATAGAGTTCATTAGTATTTTTTATTTGTTTTTTTTCTTTCGTTAAATCATCACAGCCTGCGCGGAAAAAAGTCTCACGCATTCGCCCTATTAAACCCAATTTAAATGTCAAAAATTAAGATAAATCATTTTTATAGCTTATTTAAAAATTGGGAGCTCAAATTAAAAATTTAAAAATTCAGTTCATCGTCATTTGAATTTCAAAAGAAAAATTAAGTTAAAATTTTTTTTTAATTGTGGTTTTTTTTTCAGGCACGAAAACCGATCTGAGGCAAAGCCAAGTCGATTGTGTAAGTGTCGACGAGGCGAAAAAGATGAAAAGAAGAATCGGAGCGGTCAAGTATCTAGAATGTTCTGCATTGTCCAACGAAGGGTTGGAAAACATTTTCCTAGCGGCCATCCGAGCGGCCATCAAGATACAAAAAAAAAAGAAACCGGTTTTCTTTAACTATTGTTGGAAATGAGGACAAGATACCAGATGTTTTATGTTTATATTCTCTAAGAAACAGAAACCCAAAATATGTTACTTTTTTTTATTGTGGGGGGTGTTTTTCATAGTTATCAAACCTGACAAACCGTTGTAACTCATGTACCTACTATAGTGTTTATAATGTAAAGTTACTAATAATATTGTTTACAAAAAAAAACTGTGCCATCGACTGTAATATTATATGTTATTTTTAACTAATTAAGCTATTGTTTGAAAAAAAAAGGATATTCACAATAGTTCTAAGACTTTGTTAACTATTTACGTATAGACGAACATTTCTAGCAAATAATATTTATTGGCGTGTATTTTTTTTTTTAGTGTTTAAAAATCATTATACCTACTTGTTTGTAAAGAAAAATATATTATTATAAATTATCAAAATAAATATTTATGTTTAATTCGAGGCTTCGACTTTTGCAACAAGCACTGGTCGATACGTGTGTTATAATAATTATTATGATTGCTTGTGTTATTTTACAATAAAGATAACTAAAAAATGTAAAAATTATTTTTTGTTTTTTACTTTTTAATAATATTTATTTTGAACAGTCTTATAGTTAGATTAATAAATACAATCTAACGTAATTTTTTGTTATTAAAAATTAACAGTAATAAACGTTGTTTTTGTTAGAACTTTTTATATTATTAAAGTATTCTCAATTTTATTATTTTGTTTACTAAAGACCTATGTTAAAAAAAAAAATACTTTTTTGTTAAAAATCATTTTTTGTCAAACAGTTTTATATAATTAACAAATTAATATTATCTATGTAGAAACGGTTTGGGAGAATGGTTGTAATAAAATTATTGCTCAACTCTTTTTAATAAGTATACCAATTGTTTTAATAGAATTAATTCGAATTATATGAAAATTATCATTTTTGAAGGTCTGTCGAAGTTATAACATTTTTTTTAATTTCAAGAATATTACACAAATGCTAATTACAAACTTTTTTCTTAGAGATTATTCTAGGCTATATTTGAAAAATTAAAAAATGATATCTTTAATCTGAATAATTAATTATTATTATTTTAATTTGTAATTATTTTATCAAATTTGTTGGACGACTACATTTATTATAATATGCGAATAGTACAAAAAAAACTAATAATCCCTTTTTTTCTTAGTATTTAAAAATTTTTAATATTATTTTGATAAAAACTAGGCTTTGGGTTTCGTCCTACTCCTTCAAAAATTAATTTTAAAACATATTTACTTTAACAGAAAACAATAAGATCTTTCTATAAAAAAGTTTAAAAAATGTAAAGGCACAGTAATAAAATTAAGAATCAACAAATTATTCTAATTAAATGTTTTGAGGGGCCATTTAAGTAAAATAAAAAATATCCAAATCCCCAAAATGTTGTCTAAGACACCGAGAAAAAATTTATATTTTTTGAAATATTGTTAAACTTTTAAAGAAATATAAAAAAGTTAAATATACTCGTACATAATGTTATAACTAAGTATGATTTTAGACTTTAAATATGAAAACGATCATGTACTTGCCAATTAGTGAATATTTAATGCAATTGTTGATAACATTTAACCAATATTTGATTACTTTTTTCCATTTATACGTTTGTACGTTTCCATTTGATTTTTAAAAGTTACCCCCCGAAAACCACCCTTTAAAATATTATTTTAACTCGAACGTGAAAAACTGTTTTTTAATTGATTTTATTTGAAAATTGTTTTGCTATAGTCATTTTTCCATAGTTTGACTGTTTCTGTAACATGAAATTATACATGAATCACTACTTTCAGATAGGGTTCATAAAACCACATTTTACAGGAAGCACAAAAAAACAGCTAAGGCCAGACTGGGTAAGAGCTAAGTATAAAAATGAGCAAACGACATTATTATTCCTACTCTCACGAGAACATTTTTCAAAATAAATATACGTGCTTGTTGTATTGATTTAATTATCACCTTTCTGCCACCGATTTATTTTAGTTGCGTTTATAACGTAATAAAAAAAAAAGATACAGGTAGGTATTATGGTTCTCATAAAATAGAGTACCTAACAGAAATAATTCAATTTCATTACCAAATCGGACTTGTCATAGTATAGTGTGTGTGTGTGTGTTTACTGTGTATGTACTACTAGATTGAAGTCATCGGCGGGGGGGGGGGGTGGTTGCAATATGGGCAGCTGTTGTAGTAGTGGCTAGTATTAATCGGTATAGTATAGGTGGCTGTATGGCTATATTGAAATCATAACTGGCTACGGTTGAAACATATTGTTATGATGTATATGTGGTGCCCCGGGCGGGTTGAAGAGATCGCCGCGAAATGGTTGAAAGGGTGAGAGGGAGGTGGTGAAAAGACTTCTTTTTTTTTTCCTGTGGGTTGACCTCCCGAATCAATCAAAACGGGAAGAGTTGTGTGCTTGTGCAGGTATGGGACGACGCAATGCGGTCCTGCGTACAACCAAAGGGGAAAACGTATAGCCACGTCGCCGCCGTAGTATGCCAGTCGTTAGCCGTCGCTCGAACCGCGGTCACAAGTTCAGCGCACAAGTCTTGGACTTTCCGCACGAGTTTTTTTATTATATATATATATATTTTTTTTTTTTTGGCCAATACAATTATCCGAAACGTTTTCCACGTCCGGACGACCAGTTTTGGCAGAATCGTTTTGCGCCAACAACCGGATATGATCTAGTCTGGCGACCAGAGAGACAGCGGTTTTCCTCGCCGAAATTTTGCTAAAATTTACCATTTTGATGACCGAACTTGTTGGCAATACGGAAATCGGGTAAGCGTTAAAATACAAATTAAACCCCCATTTCATAAGTGACGGAGGTGGGCAGACGTATCGACGATTCAAAGTAACGGCGCGCTTCTATTTGATAAAAAAAATTGTGACAGTTTATTGTAACACTGTGAAAGAATTGGAGTACCTATCAATAAAACGGCTAGATTAACCGAGACGAATAGGCTAAATTTGTTTACAAGAAAAATGTACAAAAAGGGTCTAACCTTCGTCTCGTAGAACGGGACCGACTGAAATACATTTTTTTTGTCGAGCTTTAGAAAATGTTATTAGTATAAAAAAAATTGTTATAAAAAGTATAAATCCGGTAATTCTAATATAATATATAAACGTACATTTTCACGAATAATACGTTAAATAATCAAAATTCATAGATTAGTGTAGTAGCTATTGTTATTTTTTTAGTTTTTCTTTACCTTTGTATTTTACGGAAAATTATTAAATATTTGTTTTTTAGTACTTTCCAGAGCTATATAAACTTTTAAATCTTAAATAGCAACGTACATATTTTATTAGGTACCTTTTAAAATTAATAATATGCTGAACATTTTGACTGGTCAATAGCCAGTTTTGGATGATTAAATTTAAATTGGTTAAAGTTTAAAATTTAAGACGGGAGGAAGGGTGGAATGTAGTAATATTTTTATTTGCACGCATTACTCTACAGCACTCCTCCTCCCGTCCTAAATTTTTAACTTCTGTTTACCATTTGAGTTTAAAAGATTATAGACCTCTGGGGAAAAAAAAGGAAAAATCTAAATTTGAGTATTGTTTGATATTATAAAATAACACAAACTAAAGTGTCTTAAAAAGAAGGACTACAAAATTACAATTATTCTAAGAGAAACTTAGTGGTTTATCTTTTATGAATCACCCTATATAGTATAAAATATAGAAAAAGCGTAACGAGGAAAGGGCCTACCGGGATTTGTTGGTATCCTGGTGGGTCTATCCGCTTGTGGCTAGTTAGAAACTTTAATTACACAAACTTAACCTTATAACTATCGTAGGTCGTAGTTAATTATATTATATAATATTGATAACTTTGGGTGTGATGTGTAAACATTTATAAATTTAATATAAATGTAAGGAAAAAAATGTTGTTAAAAAAATTACAATCAAAATATATATTTTAGAATAAAGAATTATTCGTGTGGAATTGAGTATTAATACAATATAATTAATAGGTGTATCAATTGTATTAAATATATTAAAGTTTATATAAGATGTACCTAACCACAGACGATGGTAAGACTAATCGGTTGGAGTTGATATATGATAAACATATTTATCATATATGGTACGCATAGTGTTGATATTAATTGAAAGATCAACTCGTACTATCTTGAAGTTTTTTTTTAAATTTTATGATTAAAACTATTCACATTACGTATAAATTAAATAACGACTTAAGCTTAAAATTACTTTTAAAAAATCGTTAAAAGGGCATAGTACATCATATATTATATATTTGGATTGGAAAATTTGTTAATTAATGCTCGACTATTTAAAGTTTATTTCTTAAACTGAAACACAGATTTTTGAAAGTATATTAATAAATACATACATTTTTTCTAACTTATAGGAAATTCACTAAACATTTATTAAAAAATCTAATCTTTTATTCGCAGTTAATTTCATCATTAGCAAAATATTATTTCCTCTGGTATTGTCGACAAAATAATAAACCGAGTTTATTTTAAAAGACATGTAATGGTAGTGCTTTTTTATTCAAACCAAAGCTTTAAATGTTTTACTGACAACATAAAATAATTGGGTTTTAACACCGATGGAAACGCGCTAATTAATAATGGAAAACTTTAGAAAAAAATTTTTTAATCGAATTTATGAAATTCTTTTCTTTTAGAACTATTGAAAGTAAATAATGCGGTAAACACCAAATTTTGTAATTATATATAGGATTTTGTCCGTTTATTAATTAGCGCGGGCAGATTTTCCAGTTAATACTTGACAATGGGATTAGAGATTTAGAGGTGGGTCAAGTTATTAGCGTAAAGACCTATTTTTTCATTCATACAGTCTACTACGGTAATGGTTTTTGTCTTTGGTCGACATGAGAGTAAGAGTGGTGGTGACATACAAGGTATTCAACCCTTGTTGGATAACATTACCATATTAGTATTACGTTATAACAACAATACCTATAACCTATGTCAAGTGCACAAACTAAATTATTGTTATGATAACATAAAAAAGAATCGTTCCCCTAAATTATTGATACATTATTAAAAATGAACATTAAATGTATGATTAATTTATTATCATTTACTTTCATTTAATTGTATAATTTATCTTATTTAGAGACAAGCAAAAAATATTTATGATTTACTTAGATTCAAATTTTTATGGGTGGTGCAAAATTCATTTTTGCAATTTCAAAAATCCTTGGACCATTTTCTTTATTGTAATCACAATTAATATTTAATAATGACTAATTAATATGTTTTAAACTTAATCCTGCAATATCAGTCAGTTAAGCAAATAAATTAGTTTCTAATTAGTCAACAATTAAATTATTCGTGATAAAAAATTAAATTTTACTCTTGATATATATTTTTTTGTTCTATAGTTAATAGTTAATTATCTATTGTTTTACTTTATTTCAGGTTTATTAATTTTACTTATTTCAAAGAATAATGCTAACTAACTTTTTTATTCTATGTAACCCAGCATTTGGTTTTTGAATTTAAATATTTCTGCTTTAATACACAATAATTATGATAATTTTTGAGCAAGATGTACTAATAATAAATGTTAAATTATATTAAAATTGTAAATGTGTAAATATTCCCACGTTGATATTCTATAGTTAAATTTTCGTTTATTATTGCTAGTTCTATAGAACACCATAAGAGTGATACCAGCCATAAGCTAAAAGTTACTTTTTCCTTAACTTTTAACTTAATGAGTTACATTTTTATCTTTTTAAAGAAGTAACTTAATTTAACTAAGTTTATTTTTTAACATTAAGTTAAACTAGTTTTCCAAAAAAAAACAAACGTGCTGAACTTTGAGTGTAGGTTAGACAAGACAACATTGTTTTTTTTTCCTGAAGTAAAACTCTGGCAGCGATCAATCTTATAAGAACAACAACGTTCCGTTTCGGGCCTAGAAATACGGCAAAACAAAACATATTAAAAATGTATGATGGCACCGAGCGCTGTATAAGTTGCTTGTATAAGAAAACAAGGGATGAGATTATTAAATTATTTTGTTCAAACTATGAATAATTTTGCTTCTCGAAATCCTCCGGTTATAAATAATTTCCACTATTTAAGGTTCGGCGAACCGCTCTGGGGTACCGCGGCGGAGCTTTAACGACTTATTTAATTGAAAAGCAACGAATCAATAACCATTACTAAACAACACTTTTGGGTGAAATAACAAGGGTGCAACACAAGGGTTGAGCGCATAAATATGGGTAAAGAAACTACCTGGACAATCAGTATAATTCACAGCCCCAAAAGCAGTAACTATGCAGTACTTGAACTCTGCAACGAGTCCTATAAATAACTGTTTAATAAAAATTTCCTAGAGCTACAAATAAATCACAACTAGAGATGGCAATAGCCCGTTTTTTATTTATAAAAATGCTACCCAGTTAAGTTTTTTAGAGTAAGCCCAATAAAAGACTTAACCGCTGGGTTTGGTTTTTTCCTTTGCCAACTCTGTGACAAATAAATAAAGCAGTTAAATTGATAAACTGGTTCATGTTGTTGAAACAGCACAAGTGGAAAATGTATTTTACCCAAAATGTGCACCTTATGAAAATATACTAAGTAAAAAAGAAAATGTATGCGCCCGGGTTAAAAATCAGTCAAAGTTGTTGTATAGAGTTAACCGGGTATTTGGGTGTGATAATAAGTGATGTACAAATGATAAATTATTTCCATTATAAAAAAAAACTGTTTTGCTCAAATAAATGGTTAGTACTTTAAATAAATTATGTTTAATTTATGGATATAATATAAGAGTGATTTTTCTTAAGTGATATTCTGAACAACATCAGTTAATATCAGCGTTTTTTTTTTTATGAATGCGTTTTATGAATTGAATCATTCTTAAGCACTCGATATTAGATTCATTTAATGATGTACGCAAATGGATGTTGTTTTTTACCGACCTAGAAAAAGCTTTCGACAGAGTAAACCATGACCTATTTATATAAAAACTTAAATCATATGGTACCTATGATCCACTATTATCCAGTTTTCGATCTTTCATAGCTAATCGAATACAATTTGTCAAATATACCTAGTAATTTAATTTCAGAAAATATTTATGCTGTTAACTACTATATCACATGTTATGCACCACTATAACTTTCGCTTTAAAAAAATTTACCACATCATATGATTATACAACAAATAATAATAAAAAAATTATATGGGTGCCACTTTTAACTCAAATTTAAAGGCCATTTTTCTAAGCATAAAATGTTTTTAATATTGTAAAATGATATATATTCGCAGGGTATAAAATATGAATAACCAAGATGCATTAAATAGATATTTCCAAAACATCAAAATTGTTGTATAACATTTCAGAAATATTTTTAAAACATGTTTACCAACTTATTATTGGTATTTGACAAACAGTTTGTTTTACAATATATTTTAGCTGTGCGTGTAATATTTAACTCGTTTTTATGTATAGTATTCGTGGCCATAACCCCTGTTTGGACAGTTACCCCTCGCCAGTTCTACATGGAAGAGCGGATATTTTCTGTAATTTTTTTAACACAAAACCGTTTGAAATTTTCCCTATACCCTCACTATTGCGTCCATGTCGTAGCCGATGATGACAAAAATAATAACAATAACAACAACAACAACAAAAATAGTAATAAAATAAAAACAAACGATCGTTACTCGCGAGAGAGTTTGAAAAACCATCAAAAAGGCGTGTTAGACGAGGGCTGGCGTTTGATATTTTTCCCCTTAGAAAAACAAACAACTGTT